TTGCTGAACAGCAGTGAGCTACAGCCATGAGGCGTGAGTCTGGCAGCACCTCCGACAGCACCCAGTGGGTGCCACTGAAAAGTTTCACAAATTAGGGTGTCTACAGTTCCCATCCTATACAAGAGCCTCCATCAAGGGCTTCTTTCTTGGATGAGGCTGCAGACAGAGGGCACAGTCCAGGTGCTGGGTGAGGAGCCTTCATCTGCAGAAGCCACATGGCTGATGGCTTGGGGCTGCTCCAGCTGCATCTGGAGAAACCCAGCAAGCCCAGAAGGACACAACATGTGAGTCCACCTTGGTGGGATCTCCCCAAAAATGAGGCTGCCTCACTTGGGACTTGCTGCCCCAAACTCTCCATATATTGCCAGCACACACGTGTCGTGGGCAGCATCCAGAGGTTGAATGGCAGAGGGCCGGAGCGGCGAGGCTTGCAAAAAATGCTGACAGGTGCTGTTGTGATGCCTGGGAACCGGGTCTGTCAGCGCTGGCATTGCTTTGACCTCCTGTGCCATGCCAGCCTGAAATGCTCATCTGTTCTCAGGGTCTGCAGTCCTCCCCTCGGGTTGGCTGCATGTCTCAGCAAGACGAGCCCAAGAAGTCCCAGAAAACTGAGGAGAAAATGGCCAGAGACCAAAGAATTATGCAGAGGGGACAGTGATATGAAATGCAAAATTTTTATTGCAGAGAAAGCTCGGGGCTTTCTGCTGGTGAACCATTATTGTGGCAAGTGTGTGGGCTCTGCAGCGGTGGCAGGAGGAGAAGGAGGAGGTGGTATCCACCAAGTTGTTTTCCGGAGCTGTGAGCCCAGAGCTCTTGACCCAGACTCCAGCTATAAGAAGTGCAATGGAAGAAAGTCCAGTTATTTTCCCCAAATTTTTGTAGCAATTCAGGGCCAACACTGTTTTTCTGCTGAAATACATGAGCAACTTGGGTTGTTTGCAGCTAACCCTCAGTAAGCTGAACCCTAGCAGATGTTTGCTGGGACTCTTCACAACATCAATTCCAGGGCAATCAAGAGGATCTGGGATGCCTGAAAAAGCCTTCCCTCCAATCACTTCCTCATGGCCGCTCTCCGGATGTTCCCTGTGAGGAGGCAAATTAAGGATCCTTAAAGTTGCGTCTTTTAGCAGGCAATCAGTGCTCCTCTCGGCAGGGAAGGGCGTTCATCAACAGTCACGCAGGTCCTCGCGCTGAGATAAACACAACGTCGGATGGTGCCGCCATCCAGCAGAAGATGTCTTTGCACGCAGAAGGCAGCGTGCACATGTGCTGCAAGGATGAATTTTGGGTGGCTTGCAGTGGTATCACCGATATGGATGCACAGGCTGGGGAGACATGGGAAGACGGAGATAACCCCCGCTCTGTGTCTAGGCAGCACCTGAAGACCAAGAGGGGCTTTGGAGGTACCGCATGGCTCTGGTGGGATGTCCCAGGGGACCACTGCATTCCTG